CCCAGCAAGCGCTCCTGGTCCTCAGAAGGCACAGAAAGCAAAGAGAGGTACACGAGCGGGGTTACATCCCAAAAACCAGCTCTGCCTTGCAAACCTCCACCAAAATAAAGAGGCATTTTCAGCGGGCCAGCCCCTGCATGACTGTGGGTCAGCAGAGGACAGTGCTGCTGCAGCACAGAAGAGCCTGCAGCGCACACATTTTTTGCTTTAACACCCCTCCAAGAGGCACTTTGGGAGCTCATCAACCCCCTTTGCTCAAAGCCGGGAGGGTCCCAGGCGCCAGAGAGCCCTCTGAAGTGGAAGACGCTGGTTTGCCACAACCATCCCGGGGCATGGGAACCCAAACCAGCATCAGCAGGGCCGAAGGGAGGGGTTCAGCACCAGGGGCTTGGGCTAATTCCCATAATATCTGGCTGACGGCATGGAGAAGGAATGTTGGGCCATTGTTTTTTTATAAGTAGCCCGAATGGGATGGGGAGAAAAACACGCGGGTGGCTCCTTAACCCCAAACAGCTCCACGAGCCAGCGAGGATACACAAACTGTCAGGAATCTTCTGCCGAAATCCATCTTTGAACGAGACCTGAATTTAACCTGAGCGCCGCTCCAAAGCCCCCTCCTCCCACCAGCTGCTGACACGACCCCGGCACATCCCAATTAGGAGACGGAGCAAACCCTCTCCTCCTTTTGTCCAGCGCTAATGGATTTCCTCATGCAAGAAATTTTCCAAATAATGGGCCCCACACCCCAGAGCTCAGAAACCTTCATAATAAATCAGGACTGTCCCCAACCCAACCAAAGCATTCACAGAAGGAGGAGACTGGGACAAGGATGGGATGTGACCAGCAAATGGACCTCGCCATGAGGCTCCACCATGGGCTCCAGGCACGACCCAAGCTCCTGGGAAAGGCTCATTCATGATCCCATGTGCCAGGGTGGGACAGGGCATGGCCTTGGTTTTCCAGCCCCACAGCAGCACCCCAGGGTACGGGTTACAGATTTAGGCACAAAAAGCACACGGAGGCACCGCTGCATAAATCCAACACAACCCACAGGGGCATCACCCCATAGTTTGAGTGGTTTGAGGACTTTTCCAGCTGCCTTTTCAGCGCCAGCTCATTCTGGTAGTGGTTTTTTTTTTTAAATAAGGTACTGTCAAAATGTACAGTTCTTGAAAGAGCCAAGAAAAAGGTGGTGATTTGTACAGCTGCAGAGAGAAATCCGAGTTCACAGATGTACAAGCTGCCTTCTCAGACTGGCTGGGTCAGGAGAAAGCTCTCGCAAAACCAATTTAAGTTTCATAAAGTTCAGTTTGAGGTAGAAACCCTGAGCAAAGCACTTTATTTCTGCAACGCCTGGCCCCTTCTCCAAACAACAAGCCCTACCCCTTCCCCAAACCCTAAACGAGCGATGGCACAGCCCGAAAAAAAACCTCTAAGGAAGTCGTCAAACCCCACGACGGGCACAGATCTGGAAGAGCAGGTACAAGGTAGAGCCGACAACCGCAGCTCGAGAGCATCGCGGCGGCCAAATTGCTTTTTAACAAGCAGACAACTTCTATCAATAGCATCTCCCGTATGTTTTTATAAAGCGCAGAAATATGTTTTTAAGGGGCCAGTAAATAAAGTTCCCATCGATTTGATCTCAAGCGTAATCTGTTTTTCTGTCTGCCGCCACCAGTGGTAATAAAACAGAATCATGTAACACGGTGTTTCAGCTAATGCGACCATACATCACGGCCGGGACTGCGCGCTCGCCGGCGATCTATCATTTTCTATTGGGATTGCTTAGCTGCAGAATTTATAAACTTGCCCCAAATTGATGCGATGTCCAATTTTCTTTTCCAATTTATTTTTGGTTGAGCGAAGCAATATTGGAGGCAGGACGAGGAGGGCGCATTTCCCGTCTATCCAGATGTTCTCCCCCTCCGCTCCCGCATCCTCCTTGGCCTGGGAAAGGGCCTGGCAGCAGCTCCTCTGCCCAAGTTTTCGGGAAGATGCTGATGGATGCTTTGATGGCTACGTTTAGTGCTTGCCCCACGTTGTGTCTTTGTGGTACTACTAAAAAACTGCATGGGATGTCTGTTATCCCATGCTCAGAAGGGGGTCCCTGCAAGGACCGAGCATCCTCAGCATCACAGAGCTGCATCTCACACCCACCCAGATCTCTGCTACACCAGGATGGACCAAATGACTGGCGGACAGACCCTTCCCACATGCCCCAGCCATGCAATTTGTGTATCTCTGGCCATTTAAAGTGTTTTTTGGGTACCAAACCCATCAGTCACCGACTCCCTGCGCTTGGGGATGCAGTCGTTATTCCTCTACACAGCCCCGAGCTCGCAGAAACGGCAGCCAGACGCAACGTCTGCCTTCGTTGCACCAAAAATAGGTAAAAAATGGGACTTTTAGGAAGTAAAAGCGATGTTGGATAAAGCTGACAACCCAATGCAATGGCCCAGGGTCTAAGCTGGGTGAACAACAAAGTAAATATTAAAATCCCTAAAAACATCCAGGAGGTGATGGGTTGAAGCCATGGGAGATGCCACACTGCTTGAAGGGCCTTCACCCACAACACATTGACATCAACTTCAGGGCATTCAGGCTGCAAGTAGAGACCCAGGTCCTGGCAGGGTAAAACGCAGCCCCACCAGACCCCTTCCCCATACCTGGAACAAGGATGGGGAGCGCCCCATTCCCCTCTCCTCCCCAAAACCGATCGATATTTCCGGAGAGAAAAACAAACACGCCGCATTTGGCTTTTTTGGTGGTTGTTTTTCTTGAAGAGACAAAGTGTTCCACAGAAAGCAGACACTTCCTACACAAGTTTTCATACTCAAACCCCGAGTTTTTCTGCCACTGATTTTTGACAGCAAAAGCGTAGCCAGGCCCTTGCCCAGCCCTTCCCTCGCCGCTCCAGCCACAAGGGCCGTAGCACCCCGACATGCTGAGAGGCATCCTGTATAGATGGAGATGGCTTTAGCAAAGTGAGGTTTCCCATTCTCACTTGGGAATAATCTAAAAAAATCAAGTATTTTTACTTTAGAAATCCCCATTGGAAATCATAAGCAGCAACGCTGTTGCCCACACACGCCGTGGCCCTGGTACAGGATGTGGCAGCACTTGTTACCATTCACTTCCAGATGATTTTTTGGGGGTAAAAAAGATTATTCCTAAGCATCCTTACCGGTTCAGGAGAAAGAAATATATACATATATTCCTATAGAGAAAGCCTGAGGCAATTCAAAGCCTGTTCTCCGCAACCGATTTAAGGCCGCCCAGCTCCTCACCCAAAATTAAACCCCCAGTTTGCACCCAGTAAAGCTGGAAGGCTCCCGGCTGCGTGGAGCTGGGGACGTGTTTTTGGCTGAGGCCGGAGGAGAGAATAAATGCAAAGCCGGGGAAGCGGCGGGGCCCGTGTCCTCAGATGCCGCCTCAGCGCAAGATGTGCCGAGTTGTCTTGGAAGGGAGCGGTGCCAAATCTGCCAGCGGAGATGAGCCATCAGCAGCCCCGGTGCCAGCGGGAGCCGTGGACCCCCTAAATGGGGTTCCTGGGGCCCTGCCCACCCCCCAGTGTCACAGCTGGCATCCAGTCCACAAATATGTGGCACACACACGAGTCCCAGGTGATTTGTTTGTTCTTGTTTTCAGGTTCAAAAATACAAAGCCAGCATCCCCCCGACACAACAGGCACAGGTCTGGCTCTGCATCTCCCCCAAAACCTCCCCATTACCACCAGTGTCCCTTACTGGGCAGAGCAGTCCCCACCAGCACCCATTACTGGGCAGAGCAGCATCCCCACAGCCAAGTCCCTTCCCTTCTCCCCGCCTTAGTTTGCTTTCCAGGATAAAAATAAGAAAGAAAAGCAACTGCCTACATCGCTGGGAAACTTCAAACTACTGGAAAGCACAGCACAAGTGATGGATGATTTTATGTACGGCATCCGCTGCCAGGGAGGATTATTTTTTTGGAAGAATTAGACATCTTTAAGGGAAAGTTATACTTCAAGCCATGTGATCAACGGGGGGAAGAGACTTTCCAGACGGCAACGAAGCAGCCAGAAACAAAAATTATTCTTAACACATGGAGTCAAAGCCAAGACGCACAAAAGCTGAGTTTCTCCCTCATCAGATCCAGTTGAGGTGTCCACAGCTGCCAGTGGGGACCTGGCATGGGGTGGTTATTGGGGTTCCATGGGGATTGCACTGGGGATTTGGGGACAAGGTCCCCCCACAGGGTGATGCTGATGCCACCGCATCCCCCACGGGGTGCGGGAGGGGACCCAGCGCCTCCCCGTGCTCGGGAAGTTCAATGCTGCCACCTGGCGGCGACGAGTGGGAACTGCAACCCCGACCCTGAGGGGCACCGGACCCCCCCGGTTATCGGTCCCCACCGCACCCCAACCCCCGCGCTCCCTGGGGGCTCATTAGATTAATTAAACCCATTTCTCCAGTCAGACGCCAGTTACACACGGGCAGAGGATGTCAGCACCCAGCGAAAGCATACGTTTGCTTTAAAAAGTTTACAAACAATCACAAAAAAGTTCTCTGTTCGCAAATTATTTTGGCTACAATGTACAGAGAAAAACAAAAACAAAATAGAGAGATTACAATGCAGCAAAAACAGGAGGGGAAAGATCCTAAATATAACCTTTTTCTTTCCTTCCTTCTGAACTGTTTACTCACAGCTCAGCCTCAACTCAAAACTCTGAAGCAATGGGGGGAAAAAAACCCCCAAAAATTCAGAAATTCACCCCAATTCCAGGCCAAATTTAACCCAGCACAACACAAAGAGCTGACAGCACACCAATGTTCAGCCATGCATGGCTCGGGGTGCCCAGCACCCAAAACACAGGCGCTAGGTGCTCCTGCTTGGCCCCAAACACGTGGATGTCACAGCCAGGCTCAAAGTACAACCACACATGGGTGTACACAATCGTTTTGTGGTGAATCCACACATTTAATGGACATGGAGAAGCACAAGCTACACAGCACGAACCTCACCTTCACAGCCTGGGGGTACCGGATGCGCGGGGGGCCCCACTCCTTGCTGATCCGCCACCGGTACTGGTGGCACTGGGGGATGTAGTTGCAGCCCACATCATCCAGCTCCGGGTAGATGATTTCCAAATCCCCTCTGGGGAGAAAAGGGGGAGAAAAAGGGGTGTAAGTTGGGATGAGACCATGCAGGGGCTGGAAATTTGTGCCACTTTCCAGCCAGGCTTCAGCTGTGGTCGTGATGCCAGGTAGGAGATGAAGGATCCAACTAGAAGCTTAAGTTGCTCATATTTAAAGAGCATTTTAGTTAACTGAATAGTAGCAGAAGTGAGGTTTTTGGTGCAGAAGCTCTCAGTAATGTGGGATATTAAAGGTAATGTGGGATATCTGTGGAGTAGCAACTCCCTCAGCTACAAGAGCTCAAGACAAGGACCATCAATGTCAAAACACTTGATATTGGGGTGCATCAGCTGCTCGGCTGGGGGGCACAGCCCAAACTGTCCAAACTCCAGAAGCTCCCCAGGCTTCCTCCTCTTCCCCACACCTCCAGCATTAACATCTCCACAGGATGGGCTTTGAGATCTGTAGGGTGACCTTTTCTAGGGCTTTCCTTCCCCAAAAGTACCCTCCCTCCTCTGAAACTTTCTGCAGAAAGCATTTGTCACCTCTGGTGCTCTAAGTCGCTATAAAAGCCTCTGCAAAAAGGGACCAAGGAACAACTCGAGGTGACCAGAGACACCAAGACCTCAGCTTGCACAAAACGGGAGCTGCACAGTGCGGCGGGCACTGCTCTGGCCCAGATTCCCGGCAAAAAAGAAGAAAGCAGCCAATATTTATAGCCCTGGTGAAGGGGATATGGAAAGGAACCACCCCAGGAGGTGACACAAGGGCAGAGCGTGACTGGATGCCCATTTTGGAAAGGGGACAACAGGAGGGATCACTCACTTGCAGAACTCGCTGTCCGCGTCGCTGAGCGGCTGGAAGAAGCAGGTTTGGGAAGGCTCGTCCAGCCAGGGGGGCTGCTTATCCCGGGCTGCACTGCCCAGCACCCCCAAAGCCAGCAGCACAGCACCCAGCAGCTTCATCCTGCCCTGCAGGGACAGAGACAGAGAGGGTCAGACCCACGGGCAGAGCTGTGACCCAGCATCCCCACCACCACGCTCCAGTTCAGCCCCCCAAAAACCAGCTCAATGCAAAGCACGCCCAGCCTTACGCATCATTTTTCCCTCAGTCCCACCAGTTTCACACCATTAATCGCAATTATGGTGGAAATGAACTGCGTTTCCTGCTCCGTGCCAGTGAACACTGAGACCTAAGCAAGACCTGGCGTCTTGGAGCACCCATTTCTACCCATTTCTGGTGGTGCATCACCACCCTCCTGCACGGCACCAGGGATGTGCACATATAATGTGCACACATTTCAAGCCCAGGTGGCACCAAGAGGGGACAGAGCCCCCATCTCCAAGTGCTGACCCTGCTGCTCTCCATAGGACTCCAAAATTGATGGAAAAGATGAAAAATCAGTACCAGGCTTGCTCACGGTCTAACCAAGTCCATCACCAATGGTCACACAACCAGCCACTACACTGCCCAACACACCCTGACCCTGGGTTGATCCCCTGCAAGGGAACAGCACAAGGGTTCACCTTGAACTCAGCCACACATTTTCAAGTCTATACCGAGCACAAGCCAAGCCCTGAGGATGAGCAGAGCCAGGATACGAGGTTTAAACACCCCCAGCCCTGCCAAGCCCAATGCCAGCCCTCACCCAGGTGCCTGCAGCAGCATGATGGACCCATGGCCATGGCCACCATGGCTGGGCCTTGCTGAGCCACTTACCCTGGGGATGGGCGAGCAGCTCCGAGGCAGAGCCTGGAGCTTTGAGGTTGCCGTGGAGACGGTTTCCCGGGAAGGGAGGGAAGAAAGAACCAGGAATGTAAACAGAACCCGGAAAAGGGGCAGCTCATCCCATAAAGGAGCACAAAACCAGGTTTTCATCCCACCCATCCCACAGCAACCTTCTCCAATGGACCCACCAGCTCTGGGTCCTCCCCCAGCCCTAATTATCCCCCCCCCCTCCATGCTAAAAACTTCCCGGCTAATTAGAAAGCAGACAACCCAAAGGTTTATTTGCACTTGCTCGTGTTCTCCACTGCCTAATCCATTCTGGATGAGGTGTATCCGAAAAAAAACCCTCACTGCCAGTTGGGAATAGGTATTACAACACACGCTGTATCATTATATAAAAGAAGTACCAGCACGCAGGGCGAGCACGAGTAAGTACTAGCGGCGCTGTCATTACAGAGAGAAAAAGGCATCGGGCTTAACTAATTAGAAACATTAATGTATTGGGAATGATCCACAGGTTTAGGGGCTAATGGCTCCCGTTCCCACGCTCCGAGATGGGCAAGCCCTGTAATTAAAGCCTGGAGCCTGCACGGCCTCACATGAGGAGCGCTTTTCCCAGAGGAGTCAGGAGCGCTGGTTTGGATGAGTCAGGAGAGCCAGAATGGGCCCTGCATCCTCACACACTATCACAAGCCAAGGGGTTGATAACCTGGGGTGCCAGGGGAAGGAATGCCCAAGGACTCTCCAGCACAAAAAGGCAGATTTTCTTAGGAAAAAAAAAAGAATTAAATAGACTTCTTTCAGCTGAAATCTTGGCAAGACCAAGGGACAGTGGTTGTGACCAGGGACTTGGACACCAGGAGAGCTGTAGACATGGACAAGGGTCTCCTCTTGCCAAAATTACTCTCATGTCATGGTAAATTCATCCAGTTTGGCTTTTTATTTGAACACGAAAGCAGCAAAGCTGGCACAAGGCTTACATTGCTGCAGCTCCTGGTCTGTCCCAGGGTAGTGGAGGAGCATCTCTTGGTGTGGTTACCCAAATAACAGCAAAAGCCAGAGACAAGATAAACCCCAATTTTACATTATTTTAAGCCTGGAGGCATTGAGAAACCTCTTCACTCAGAAGCATTGTCAGCCACTTCTATCCAGAGACCTCCTGAGAGCATCTTCACGAGACGGGATGAGGACAAAAGGGTTTGCTGACAGATGAGGTGCAGAGGTATCCCCTGGGGATGCTCTGGGAGAAAACCCCATGGGAGCAGCTCTCTCTTACAGCATCCTAAGACAAACTACAGCTCTCTCTCTAAAAGCTATTTGCAAAGTAATTATAGAGATCCTACTTCTCCTGCTCAGGAGACTGAGTCAAAAAGGCAGCGAAAAGCCCAGGCAGCAAACCCCCATCACCAGGGTATAAAATGCATGGGAAGGTTCTGCTGAATGAGGCAGACGACAGCTCCTGGGCAAGATCAGATGGGCACAAACCACCCATATCTTCCCCCCATATTTTCCCTTTGCTTGCCAGGCCTGCCCCGACACAACCCTGCCTGCACAACCACTCCAAGCCCGGCAAACCCACGCAGAGGATGGATAATTTCCACCGCAGCCGATGCGAAGCCGTAATCCACGTGTCTGAGAGCCCGCAGGAGCAGCATTCCGCCCGGAGAAGGATCCTCCCATGGGCACACGCACACGTTTCATGGTGTCGGGCCATGCTCCGCTCCCTGCAGCCCAGGTGCGGCTCCGTGTGGCCTCACCTGACTCAGCAGTGCCGCAGGAATCTGGTCCTGCCAGCCGCTGGGATGCCCCGGCGTGGTGCTGTGGCCATGCAGGGCTGGGAAAAAGGCATTTATTCAGGATTTCCCCTCCACGCTCCTGAATGAGAAGCTGCCTTCCACTTACAGTTGTTTTTAATAATACTTGGCCAAAAAAATTGCTTGAAACATGTGTAAAAGCCCTCCTGCTTCCCGGTTTTATCATTTCTGTGCACAAGTGCCAGCAAACATAACCCCAGGGATTTCACCATGCTCAGATGATGCTCCACACACAACCCTGCATCTTCTATCCCTTTCCTATGAACCCCAGCAAAAGGAGAGGAAGGAATTGCTTTTAAGCCACTTTAAATTGGAGAATGGTTTGAAACAGCCCTGGCATCACCTCTTCCCATGCTCTGGATCATGGGACCAGGAGGTTCCCAGCTTCCCAATATTTGGGACTAAAAGCATGAAGCTTTCAGAGGTACGAAGTCCAACTAGTGGCTTTTGGATAGATTTGGTTAATCAGATGATGGGAAGCCCAAGGAAGCGAAGTGTTGCAGTCCCGCTATCACTCCAGTTCATTGGGAGGAGATAAAATGTGATATCTATAATGCCATCTATAATGCCATCTATA